CTAGGTCCTAGTTCATCTTCACATCTCCAGGTGAATTCTCCAAAGCTCTCGTATCTCTGGTTGTAGTGGTAAAGCACGCGGTGCAGAGCGGGGGCCCCCAGGTCCATCAAGGTGTTGTAGGCCGTCTGTTGCTCCTTCCCACTTGTGTAGCCGTTGAACAGATTATAAATCTTATCCGCAATTTCTGAAAAGACATACTCAACCTGGTTATTAAGGCAGCACCAAAGGAGACATGTCTGTCTTCATTACCTTTAATGATGGGAGATTACAATTGCACTATGTGACCATTCGCTTATATTAGACCAAACTGTAAGTTTCCATTTTTCCAGCTCCGTCAATCATAAAAATCCAGTATTACACTGATACAAATGTGTTGTGACTTATATATAAAGGTCAAATTTTCCACAGATCAAAGTTGCTGTTATAGATGATGTGGTCCTATTGGCTTCATCAGAACGTGATCTCCAGCTCTCACTGAGAGTGTGAAGCAGCTGGGATGAGAATCAGCTCCTCTAAATCCGAGACCATGGTCTTGAGTCGGAAAAGGGTAGAATGCCTTCTCTGGGGCGGGGATGAGGTCCTGCCCCAAGTGGAGGAGTTTAAGTATCTCGGGGTCTTGTTCACGACTGAGGGAAAGATGAAGCGCGAGATCCACAGGTGGATTGTTGTTACGTCTGCAGTGATGCGGGTGCTGTACCGGTCTGTCATGGTGAAGAGAGAGCTGAACTGGAAGACAAAGCTCTTGATTTACTGGTCGATCTACATTCCTACCCTCACCTCATGAGCTTTGGGTAGTGACTGAAAGAATGAGACTGTGGATACAAGAGGCCAAAAATAATTTTCTCTGCAAGGTGTCTGGGCTCTCCCTTAGAGATAGGGTGAGGAACTTGGTCATCCGTGAGGGGCTCGGAGTAGACCCTCTGCTCCTCCACATTGAGAGGAGGCAGTTGAGGTGGCTCTGGCAACTAGTTAGGATGCTTCCTGGATGCCTCCTTGCTGAGGTTTTCCGGGCACGTCCAACCCGGAGGAGACCTAAAGGAAGACCCAGGACACACTGGAGGGGCTATGTCTCTCGGCTGGCCAGGGAACGCCTTGGGATTCCCCTGGAGGAGCTGGCCCAAGTGGCTGGGGAGAGGGAAGTCTGGGCCTCCCTGCTTAGGCTATGGCTACCGCGACCTGACTCTAGATAAGTGGCCGAAAATGGAAAGCTGGAATTGTACATTACTTATTGAAGCTGCAATCCAGTTTTCCATCCTTCAGGAGTATTTTTTAAACATTTTATTAGTGATTCTTACCCTGTACTGTGATACAATTTAGGCAATATTTAATTATTTTTTGCGAAACCCACCCCCGCCCCGTCGAGCACCGTGCAATTTTAATTGAGTGCTGCTGAGCATTAGCCGCTAGCGTTAGACATCAGCTGACGTATAGATGTCAATCAAAGAATATGCATGAGCATTCGAGTTGGCTACATTTTTTATGGACAAGTAAGTCATTGAAATATAGATATTTGAATAAGCATAACGTGGAAATGACTGTCAACCAATGTGTTTTAGCTCTGTTGGCCAGCTAGAGATGAGCATTCATGAACAAGGGGTGTTGCTTCCAGTCATCATCACGAAAGTAAGAAAAGGGGCTTAAAGTGATGATGTGTATTTTCCCTAGCAAAAAGGGGGATGTACGTACCTAAATCATTGCAAGCAATTCAAGTAAGACCTTACCAACATTTTGTAACCGCTTGTTACAGATCAATTAATGTGTTTTGTCCTCATAAGCTCCAACATGGCATCCAATATGGCGTTGCCAAGAGACTTAGACCCACTCCCAAGTTTTTTAGATCCGATTTTTATGGTTATTTGTTACAAAGCCGCTAATATTTTCCAAAAATGGACATCATTTGATTCATTTTCAACAACATTTCAATTGATATTTCCAGAGATTAATGGTAAAAACTACACATTGTCTCTTTAAGGTGCAATACATTTTTCCAAACTTTAGATAGTGGAGTCACAGAAAAAAGTGCAGATTGACTTTTTAAAGTAGTTTTCAGGACTTCCATCTACCTTCAGCAGTTTAACATTCAACATTTAATAACTTAACTGTTATTGCCTTTAAAAAACACAAGCAGTAGCAATCATAACAGCTACCATTGTCATGTGAACAAATGGAATGCCACTTTAACAGATGAACCCTTATGATTTTGGTCAGATTGGTTCAACTACACCTACGTCTAACATCTAGTCGCCTCAGTTTTCGTAAACAGCTTCAATCTTCTAAATTTCACAACTGTTCGTGCATTTTAAAAACCTCTATGCTACCATCAACTTTGCAATATTTCTAATGCATTTACTTTGTAGTGTGACAGTGTGAGTGTCCTGTCACAGTGTCCCGATTGATCATGCGCCCTGGCTACTTGGCCAATGGGATGTCCCTTCGGCTGACTGGTTAGAGCGTATGACTCTCACCCGGGAGTCTGGGGATCGAATCCCGCCCGGGCCCTCGTTTATCCACCTTGCCACATTTGGCGTTGTTGGCAGGATCCATGTAGTACTGTCAAGTAGGTCCATGGATGTGAAGTTTGTGGCACCCTGCACGGGAGCACGAGGATGTGCTTGTGGAAAGAGGGAGGAAGATGTGACAGTGTGAGTGTCCTGTCACAGTGTCCCGATTGATCATGCGCCCTGGCTACTTGGCCAACGGGATGTCCCTTTGGCTGACTGGTTAGAGCGTATGACTCTCACCCGGGAGTCTGGGGATCGAATCCCGCCCGGGCCCTCGTTTATCCACCTTGCCACAGTAGGAACGTCTCCCTTCTAGATGTTAATAAAGGTGAGTCAAACTAGAGCCAGTATTGTGGAAGTATTGTATTTAACACTGTTTACACTTTTCCAGGTATTTAGATTAACAGTGCAAGCCCAGTAGGATCACACTTTATTGAAATAGTTGATTAAAATCATTAGCAGGACCTAGAAGAACATCTTTGCTACAAAGCTCTGATTGGATAAGAAGTGAGCTGCATTCCAGCTCTTTGATTCCTGAGCTGGAATGATATGTTTTTTTATCGTCAGTATCCTCGTGGAATACAGTGACTATAAACAGCCCCACTCCAGGGAGGAAAACTATCTGCCTGCGACTTTATGACTCACTCTATGAACTCATCTGACATCTGTTTTGAGAAGGTTTGAAGCAGAATGAGCAAAGGTCTGTCCTGCAAAATAATTCCTTCTAACATCAAAAGAATGAACTCTGAACTGAAATTTCAACAAACAGCTTTCTACTATAAAAACTGTTATACTGGAAAAAGTTAAGACTAATTCGTAGAGAACCTACATAGTTATTAATATCTGTGTTTATGGGATTTAGTCCATTCTCCTTCCTCACCTTGTGCTTTGACATCGTCCACAGTTGGACACGGAGATTTGATAGTGACCTCGCTGGGACTTGAGCGACGTCCTGTATTGTCCACTGCCCACAGCCGGAACCTGGAGAGCCACATAAACACATGTCAACAAAACCCTTGAACACTTCAGCAACACATGTCTTCACATGCAAAGGGTGCAGCAGACGGTTAAGGCTTTCCTAGCACCTGCTTTTCCTATATTGAAGACAGTGGGTTGCATCATCAGTACAGAACTTGTGCTAAACTCACTTCCCTCCATAAAGTTTCAGGTCTTATTTTACTGAATGAATGTCTCCACCTTGTGGCCAAATCCAAACTTGCAGCCAACTGTAGTTTCAACCCCCGCAAGGATGAATAAAAATCGGCATCTCTTTTGAAGACATACTAAGTAAACTATGTATCCACATAGGCACAACATCTTTTATGATTAGGCTTCAGAGTACATTTTCTTTCATACAAGCATATATTTGTCTAAACACAATCTATGGAAAAGCACTAGTCTTGTTTCTCTATTAGATCTTTCTGCAAGAAAACAATAATAGAAGAGAGATACGACGACCAGGCTCTTGCAAAGACAAACGAGCTCTCAGTGGGATGAAAAGAGGACAAAGGTCTCACTGACATTTGAAATAAAGGTGCATCTGTAGCAGCTATTTAACCTTTTTTTTTTATATCCAAACTCTTCATATCCTCTTTTCATGCTCATGGACCTTTTCCAACTGTCATACGGAATCTCTCCTCATTATCTTTCTCAACCCCAAATTGTGATTTAATGTTTTTTTACAGACTCCACCCCCCCACCCCCCCACCCCCCACCCCACCCCCATGTGTGAGTAGCTTCCTTTCTGGCAAGCTGTGAGTGAGATAAGTGTGAACATGCTTGTGAGAGGATCTGAGCATCCGGTCTTGATCACGGCATTACATTGTTAAGTTTCTGTACTCTGCAGGTGCGTACATCCACAGTCAGTCTGGTGAGCCATTTGGAAGTCATATATATACCTACTTAGCAGACTTTTTCCTAAGTAATACCACATTTTACAATGATTTGAGAATATGTTGTACCAAGGAAATCCAGAAATGATAAAAGTGGCTTAATTTTTTTTAAGTTGATCGATTTTAAATGACTTAGGGTTAGGATTATCATCAAGTTAGGGTTAGGGTTTGGGTCATCACCATGTAAAGTAAGCCACTTCAGTGATCCAATGTTTCTGTTTCCGTGATCTAATTTTTTGTATGACCTTCTTCAACCATTCTCTCTTTATTCTGCTCTCCCCACCTATTCAACCTTCCTCAGGATCCACTGATTTCCCTCTTTCCTATTCACTCTCTCTCTTTCTCAACATTTTTTTCTTTTAAATCGCAATTGCTTATTTTTGCTCATTTTACATATATTTTAAACATTTTCTAAATGTGTTTTTTTTTTATATTTTTACATTTTTTTATTTTTTGTTTTTATGAAGCGCCTCGTGATTTTTATCTTGAGAGGCGCTATAGAAATGATACTTCTTCTTCTTCTTCTTCTTCTTCTAAATATTTTAAAAGAAGCTACAATATAAAACTGAAATGTTTATCATTTGACCATTTTCTTAAATAATGGTGGTCATGATAGTGCAAAGCCCTACATTTACTGGTTGAACTTTGCTCCACTCCTCACCTCGGGTAATGAGTTTTGGGTAAAACCAAAAGAACAAGACTGTGAATACAAGAGACTGAAATATTTTTCCTTTGAAGAGTTGCTGAGCTCAGCTTTAAGCCTGTTTCAAAAAACAACGGTGCCACTTTGCCACAAAGCAGAGGCGGCATCATGGAGCCTTTGGTTGACCGTAAGTCGTCAGCTTCTAGTGGTAATGTGGTGCAGTTTCCACATAAGATAACATGATGGCGGTTTAAAGAAGGTGTGGGGGTGTTGATGCACTGTCACAGACATCCTTCTAGTTTAGACGTGGCTTGTTTTGATCCTGATTGAAGCACACTCTTTACGTTTTGTGCAAGCCGCTCCAAAAGGTGGCTGTCCCTCACAATGGACAGTTGAGATATTCAAAGACAAGTCTTAGAAAAAGTAGCTGTATGCTCCAGAACTAAAAATGTGATTATCATAACCCATCTTAGCACTAATCTTCAGTTTTTATGATAGCGGCTTCAATGTGTATTTAATTTTTGTGTACATTTTGGATGAAATAATAAAAAAATTCAGTCAGTGAACATTTTGCAGGTATTGAGATATGTATTTTTGTCCTAAAATGATTCAGTAAAGGGAAGACCAATACCCAGAGACCAAACGCAGTGAAATCTAGTTACTGCCTTTCAATTTTTATTTTGGACTAATAACACAAAATTAGATTATTCTGCTTTTTTACCCACTGCATCTTCATTTGAACTGTAGTTTAAGAACTTACATGTATGTGGTGTCAGGCTCCAGGCAGCGGATGATCATACTGATGGAGGAGGACAGCAGGTTGGGAATGTCTCCTAACATCACACATGGAGACCTGGCCCCAGACAGGATGTCATCCACAAAACTCAAAAGGGTTTCTGCAGAAGAGAGAAAGAAGGGTTTCACAACAAGAACCCAGTGCTACAAATAATTTAATGCCACTGGTTTTGACCAGTATGACATTTCTTTTAATAAACTGTCAAATTACTTCAATCTGGCCCCCCCCCCCCCCCCCCAAAAAAAACATTTATAGGAGATTAGAGTTAAAAAAAAGACATTTTTGTTGTAAGATTCAACACATTCAATTTTATTCTGCATTAACAAAGGAACAGCTTTCCCTCATGTCAAACCCTTGTGTCCTGTAGACTCATTTAACAAGACCGATCACAGATTTTGTGTTTCCGCCTTAAATCATGTTCTTCTTCCACTTTAACTCTATGTGTCTTCATTAGTTGCTTACATATATGAGAAAAACAAATTCAAGAGTCTGCTATTAAACTGTTTTAAGGTGTGTGTGTGTGTGGGGGGGGGGGGGGGGGGGGGGTAGCACTCCAATGCCTTGCCAGGAATAAATTACACGGACGGCCTGAAAATCTACCTGATCTGTTTTTAATAAGGCAGATCGCCTGGTACAACTAAAAACAGAAAGCACATATTTCCTGAAACACAACTCTAAAAGTACAGTGTGTACTAGTCGGGCTTATCCATGAAAGGTCAGACGCTGTTTCACAAAATGAAGGTGCACAAGAACAAAGCACAAGTGACTTTGATTTATTTTATGAGGGGTGGGAAGAAATCCCAGCATTAGCAACAAAGTCTTACTTGAAAAGATTGTGAAAACGTCTGACGAGATGATTTTCCTGACTGAGTAATCAGGTCCAGGTGTGGAAAGATAAATCTGAGAGCCACATTGGGGATTTGGATCACACCTTTAGTGTAAAGAACAGGCTGTTGAGGATCTCGCTGCTACAAATCATCAGACTAGTGCCTATTTAGATATTTAGTTCAATTCAAAAATAACTTTACTGTTGAAAGCAAACATCAAAGGGCACCTGAAAAATTAGGACCTGGCAATTCCTCCATTCTCCACGTGGCTGTCCTATCACACCCAAAACACATTTCAGCTTGATAAAACAAACACACAAACAACTTAAGAATTATACCTCATTAGAGAAGGGACGCCCAATCCTGGTCCTGGAGGGCTGCTATCCAGCATGTTTTAGTTATCCCCATGCTTCAAATAGCAGGCTTCTGCTGAGGTTGATAACCTGCTGAATAGGTGATTCAACCACTGAATCAAGAGTGTTGGAGCAGAGAAACAACCAAAACATGGTTGATACCAGCCCTGACGACCAGGATTGGGCACCCCCCACATTAGAGTGTAAAACCAAATAAATCAAAGTTAATTTAATCAACTATGATAACTCATCCATCAAAGACCAAAAAGCATCCTTATTTTGAATGAAAAAGCCTGAAATACCCGATTGAACCTGACCTCCAAATCTAATGTGGCTGCTTCACAAGTTAAATGTGGTGGAACGTGTTGCAGTGAACTATTGGGTTTCACTTTGCTGGTTTTGCTCTTTCACCATCGTTGCATTATTTAGCAATGACAACAATAACAAAAAAATAATAATTAATCATCCTCATTCACCATTCACAAAACCCAAGGATACAGAACAGTGATGAATAAGAAACAAATTGTAGGCAGAAACAATTCAGACAAATACATTCACATATTTTATTGCTAACAATGAATGATCTGATTACTGGTCAATCCATCAGGTTTTCTAACTTGAGACTGGAATGTGGTTTGAGTGGAACCCTCTTTTAATCATTGTCTGCCGATTCCCAGATGCTAAAACAGACGTTCCCGTTGTGAGTCAAGATGGTCGAGTCCATGAACGTTAAGTGACGATGTGACGTAGACTTGCGTGGTTTGACAGCCACAAAGAGGGGGCCTGAGGGCCGCCTATTGAGTACCACTGGTATAATGTATATTATGTCAAAGGTCTGCATTGCCAAACAACTCACTCAACAAGTACTCAGATAGATTACGGTGTTTTCATTATCAATTGAAAAATGCTATGCTTATGTTAAACCAACAAGTTGAGTTGTACATCATACCTTACTCTAACCCTAACCATTACTGTTTGTGCAAAGGATGGTCACAGGTGACCACCTGAAAGCTGCCATCACTTTGCACATCGTTGTTCACACAAAGACTCGACTGTCTGACCTGATGGGTTTTCCTCTTCACAGTGAGACCCACTTGGTGGCTAACTGGCCCTTTGGCAGCTGGGAAAACACAGCTTGGTGTATGTGTGTGTGTGTGTGTGTGTGTGTGTGTGTGTGTGTGTGTGTGTGTGTGTGTGTGTGTGTGTGTGATGAACACCCAGAGGTAGTCATCGGTGCCTTTCCCATACAAGAACTTGAGTGAATGGCTGAAACCTAGCGCTTGTAAAGTGTGTGTGGTGAGCGATGAGTGTGCTGCGGTGGTAAACCCCTCCCTCTGTCACCATCTGGTTAACGAGTCCCTTGGAAATATTTAGAGAGAGCCAGAAGATGAAGGGGGGAAAACCTGCATGGAAAAGCTGGCAGAGAACTGTTTACCCAATGCAGAAAGTGACACAAAGTGAAAGGTATAAACATCTTATGAGATGTTAATAAAAAGTGACATTATGAAGCTTAGACCCACTTAGGATTTAATTTGCAAAGCCAGGTGGAATATGTTCTTCATGTGCAGGAAGGCATCTTTAAACCTTCAGCGGAAAAAGCAGTGTGGAAATCTGCTGAGCGGTGTTTTCAGCCTCTTAAGTGTGGAGTCCTCAGTAAGCAACTGTGTCCAACATCAATCTCCAGAGCAGAATTACTGTGTCTCAACATCCTACCATCAGTAGCTTAGCTGTGATTTACTACAGCTTTGCACTTTACCGTTGGCCTTAAACTCCAATAAACAGTTTAATCCTTGACCACAGTAATGATTGGTGGTGAAAGCTTGGATCGATCTAAGTCAATCCTGCAGGTTATCCAAGGTTTTCTCTGAGGAGTGGTGGTCTAAAAACATGCCTGTATGAGTAAACGGTTCTAAACTAGCCATATGTGTGTAGAGGGTTGACTTGTGTGTCAATGTTTTGACTCTTTGATGAAAACTGCAACCCATCCAGGCTCCTCAGTGCCTTGTGGTCTTCAGCTGGCTTCCCTACAGCTAGAGTGGGTCCAATAAATAAATGAATGAATGTTCAATTCAACCGATTTCCACTAGAATGGAAGAAAACTCCACAAGGAATGCAATTTAAAATTTTCTTCCATAAGCAGAAAAAAGTAAAAAAAAAAAAAAAAAAACTGGATGAGGTTCCACGATCTGAGTCACTTTTAACAAAGCCTACAGAGAAGAGAAAGTCAAAGCAATCCAAGATGACAGACTGATGTTTTTGACAACTTAAAACATTGAAACACAAATTAATATATATTTATATTTTGACACACCTCTACAAACACAAGGGATTGCAGGAAGGCTGGAGTGGCTGGTTTTTCTGTTTCTTTTTCTTCTGTCTGTATAACTGTTCCATTCCTGACCCCGTGATCCAAGGCCATCATTTTGTTTCTACAATTGCTGGAGACAACTTGAGCACAGCTTGAAGATCACCACGGACAATTCCTCCTAACCCCTTCAATATTACGTAGCTTTACTGGGTCAGGCTTCAATTAATTCCACATTTCCTCACCCTAACCGAGCTGTCTGTTATCCACCAGATTAGTAAAATAAAGATATTGCTGTGGTCCTCACAGTAAAAACCGTTTAACACCATGTCCGAGAGAAAAACCTGGAACCGATATCCGACAAAACCGTGATGTAGACCTAATAGTAAGACTAACTATAACTGACCCCGTTTTATCATGTTTGATTAAATAAAAAGGTAACAGTAAGTTAGCTAAAGGGCTAGTGTTTATAATTCAGATGCTGATGACTGGTTGAATGGAACCGATTTACCAGCATGCCATGCCCTTTCAGAAATGTTGAAAAGTAAAATAAAATTAATTAATCACAGTTTAAATTTTATTTACAATTAAAATATTAAAGACGTGGATCGATACCGATTTACTGACATTACAGCTTCAAAAATCAGCAGATTTTGTATAGAATAAAAATGATTAAAGCTGAATTTACGTTATTATGTACACACAACACACATTCTGAGATGGTTACAATCACTGTTCACATGACTAAACAAACACACATTACCTGCCTCACCCTCTGAAACAGATAAACAAATGGAGACAAGATGGAAAAAATATTGGTTGTTAATATCGGCCCAGTTTTATTTATCGGACCGATACCAATATGTAAAAAAATGACTAACATCGGCCGATACCGATATTGATGCCAATTTATTGTCCATCCCTAGAAGAATGCCTTCTCCAGGTCAGGGATAAGGTCCTGCCCAAAGTGGAGGATTGAAGTATCTCTGGGTCTTGTGAGGGAAAACTGGAGCATGAGATCGATAGACGGATTGGTGCTGCAGTGATGTGGGCATTGTAGTGGTCTGTCATGGTGAAGTGAGAGCTGAGCCAGAAGGCAAAGCTCTTGATTTACCGGTCGATCTACGTTCCTACCCTCACCTATGGTCATGAGCGTTGGGCAGTGACCGAAAGAATGAGATCATGGATACAAGCGGCTGAAATGAGTTTTCTCTGCAGGGTGGCTGGGCTCTCGCTTAGAGATAGGGTGGGAAGCTCAGTCATCCGGGAGGGGCTTGGAGTAGACCCGCTGCTCTTTCACATAGAGAGGAGCCAGTTGAGGTGGCTCGGGCATCTGGTCAGGATGCCTCCTGGACGCCTCTCTGGTCAGGTTTTCTGGACATGTCCAACCGGGAGGAGGCCTTAAGGGAGATCCTGTTGGAGGGACTATGTCTCTCACATGGCCAGGGAACGCCTTGGGATTCCCCCGGAGAAGCTGGCCCAAGTGGCTGGGGAGAGGGAAGTCTGGGCCTCTTGACATCTAGTGGTACTACAACATCTTTACCTACCCTCCCCCTGCAAAAACGTTCTGCCGGTGGGTGGTGTCTCAGCCTGCCTGCGTATTCGCAGCTCCTGA